AGAGCTTCCTATTGCGTGGGCGCAGTGCTGGGCATTGCTTGGCATTACTTGGCATTGGCATTACATTGCATTGCTTGGCATTGCTTCGCATTGCGCAGCATTGCCTGGCGTTGCTTCGCATAGCGTGGCATGGCTTCGCAATTCTTCGCAGCGCTTGGCATTGCGTGGCGTCCCGGGGGCGGGGGACCTGGAGGACCCGGGGAACCCCGGGAAACCACGGGAACCCCGGGAAACCAGGGACCCTCCGAGGAACCGGCAACGTAAGACTAAGAAACACCAAGGGCGGGAAGCCCAGGGAACCCGGGGAACCTGCGGACCCCGGGGGACCTCCGAGGAACGGGCAACGTAAAAATAGGAGGCACCAACCATCAACCAAGTAAGAGCCCTTTGGGCAAGCCCAATTGGGGAAATACGCATAACAAAGCTCCCAAAAGAAAAAAAACAAACAAACAAAAAACAACAAAAACAAAAAAAACAAAAAAAAAACATCGAAGTTGGACGCGCGTGCCCCTTCCCTGCCGAGGTTTGACAGCGCGGGCCGCCGCGACGTTTGCAAGGTGGAGACCTGCTGATGATCTTGACCCGGTCGCGCAGGCTTGCGCTGACCGGCTCGCCCCTGCCGGCCCCGCCAGACGGGGCCCGAGTCTTGCCCCGCGCATACAACAGCAAGGATTCTTGCGTAGTACAGTCGGGGCGTTGACCTAAGGAACCCAAAATAAGGAACGAGGCCCCTATTTTCCATAAGTTAAACTTCGATTTCATATCGAAAACCTAAGGCAAACCTGAGGCAAGCTGCGAAACAATTAAGGAACACGGAGCCCCTCCCCAATGAAAAGGGTTCCTTCTTCAGCGCCCCGACTGTAATCGCGTCGCAATTTGCTGAGCACTGTCCGTCACTGCTGTTCACTCTTTCCTGTCCTTGAACGATTGATGATCGCACGTCCTGCATGCCGGGCGCGGTCTCAGCTGCTTCACGTTCTGTCCGAGCCCAGCTTGTCGCAGCAAGCTACACTTTCATGGTTGGCTCAAGACTGTATTGATCCAGCTGTGCTGCACGTTTGGCAGTCGTCGGCAAGAGCTGTCGGACGTCATCTTGACCAGGTCAAACTTGCAGCTGTTGAGGATGTGGAATGTTTCCACGGCAATTATGCGCTCGACAAGATGCGTGATGCCTTGGTCCGTCACTTGTTGCTTTGCGTATCTGGCTTTAGCGATCGCCACAACTACTTCGCCGACGAAAGCCTAATATTGCGTGTCACCGCTACGCTCTTGTTACGATTGCGTGGCACTTGCGAACTCCTCGAAGGACGAACGATATCGGTGAAGATTAGCCTCTTCGTGTTGTCCGACCAGTCTGCTCCGCTGGGACACGTCCGCGGTCGAGATCGACTTTGGTTGCGAGGAGGGGAGACAGCAGCAGGTTGCCCTGCTGCGACTTGCACATCCTGCGGTCTCTGGTCTACAACACGAAGTGAAACCTGTCTCACTCGGTCAAACGGTACGGGTTCCTCGCCCGGCGGGTCTAACCGCAGGGGCTTCGCCCCCACGCGTAGGAGCGACGGGGTAGGGGGTCAACCTCGCTTCTTCCGGATCCATTCGGGATATTGCGGCGCTTGCACCAGCAGCGGAGGGAAGACTGGTCTACTCTGTAAGAACGGTTTTTTGAAGGCAGATCTGCCTTCAAAAAACCGTTCTTACAGAGTAGACCATCTTTTGAAGGCAGATCTGCCTTCAAAAAACCGTTCTTACAGAGTAGACCAAATTTTTGAAGGCAGATCTGCCTTCAAAAAACCGTTCTTACAGAGCTGCCCCGCCGCGCGAGCCATTTCAAGGCTTGACCTTGGCCTTCACCGCCGGCACTGCCAGCCCGCACGCCTTGTCCGCGCCCCGCTGGCTGTCGCCGGCCGGCCCGTCGTGAGCTCTCCGCGTCGGAGGACGCGTCGGAGGTGATGGCCTCGAAGTGAAGCTTCCACCGTACGGAGGAAAGACTGGTCTACTCTGTAAGGTTTTTTGCCTTTTTGAAGTAAGAACGGTTTTTTGAAGGCAGATCTGCCTTCAAAAAGGAAAGACTGGTCTACTCTGTAAGAACGGTTTTTTGAAGGCAGATCTGCCTTCAAAAAGGAAAGACTGGTCTACTCTGTAAGAACGGTTTTTTGAAGGCAGATCTGCCTTCAAAAAACCGTTCTTACAGAGTAGACCAGTCTTTCCTCCGTGATGGCCTCGAAATTAAGCTTCCATCGTACACGCGGCTTCCGTCTGGTGCAGTGCGAGCACCGCTACGGCTTCAGCCTTCGGGCCGAAACCAACGACCCCAAACTGTGGCCCCGGCTCGCCGGACGGAGGCTGCCGGGCACCGTTGGAATCCAGCCATGTCGACGACGGTACCGACGGGTTACCCTATCTACGGAACCGCGCTCGATACACCGACGCTTTTGTGCGGCCCTGCACGGACCTTTGCGCAAGGAAGCGGAGCCTGGTGTATACTATACGGGACCCTGGTGTATACACTTCCCAATACTTCCTGGGAAAACAGGGAAACAAGTATACACTACACCACCCCGACGTCGTCCCCGACCCTCAACAAGTCCTGGGATTGGAAGACGGCCCGCCACTGGCAATGTATAGGCTCCAATTTCCAACTATCGCACCGACCCTGGGGCTTAGCCTAATCGGGATGCTAGAAGCTGACGACGACGGCACGCACGAGAGGCATCGCGCGCGGATCCCGTCCCATAGCCTGTGCCTCGCGTGCCGAGAAAGCTTCGCGGGGCGAATCCTCGATCCTCCACCCTCGGAGTGAGAGAAAGGAAAGAGAGGAACGGGGGAGGCCAAGACGGACCAAGGACCTCCCAAAACCCAGCTGGGATTCCGCTCAAAGTGAAAGTGCGCCGACTACGAGGGGGAAAGCGCAGGAGAAGGATGAGGGGGAGGAGAAGGAGTAGAGCGAGGTAGCGTGACCGACCCGAAAATCGGCCGACTCCTAACAAATTGCTCGGCATGTGGCTCGACTCTATCATCTCCGTTCCAGTTTTCTGGATTCCTTCAGGCTCCTCGGGGGTCCTCCAGATTCCTCCAGATTCTTCAACTTCCTCCACAGCCCTCGCGATTCCATCAGATTCCGCAGGATTCCTAAACACCAGAGCCACCCAAGACAGCTCAAGAGGACCCCAAACGAATCCTAGAGAAAGAAGTTGTACCTACATGTTAGGCCCGAGACAAGCCTGTTAAAGCGCAAGCGCCCCAAGAAATCGGCGGTGCGGCGCAAGCCCACAAATTAACATAGCGGCGGGGGGGGGGAGAACCAAGCGAAACACGGGGGCGCGGCCCCCAGTCAAAACACCATGGATATGCCTACTTCGGCGGCGAGCCAGGGGTGGGGAAGTGAGAAAGAAAAGGCCCTCTCAGAAGGCTTGGAAGCACCCCGGCCTTCTGAGAAGTTTTCTGCGCCTTCCCCGAAGACAAAGAAAACTTCTCAGAAGGCGCGTGGGCTTCTGAGAAGTCCCGCCGCCTTCTGAGAAGGCCTTCCCCTTCTCAGTCCCCCCCCTGGCTCGCAGCCGACACAAGCAGGCGAGCATGGGAAGCGCTGTGGACGTGTAGAGATCGGCAACTGGGCTCAGTGAAGCCGAACCTCCAGATTTCGGGCGTTGGCAGAACTGGGTTTATTCGAACCTGGTTTAGTGCTGTGTGCTGGGGGACGCCCCACCGCCCCGTTCCACGAACCGGCACTGCCAGCACCCGAAAGGCACAGCTACGGCAGACCTGGGTTGGTGATTCTGGCCGCCAATCCAGGGGCCCCAGGGCCCTGCCACCGGGTCCCCTTACCCGGGGTCCTGGCTATGCCCGAAGACTTCTCGTCCAGCTGAAGGTGCCCTTGGACACACAAATAAATACACACATGAATTGTGTCTGTGTGTTTTTTCCCCTCCTGAAATCCAAGGGCCCCAGGGCCCGGCCCTGCCACTAAGCGGGTGCCCTTGCCCGCGGTCCTGGCTGTGCCCGAAAAGACTTCTCGCCCAGCGCTGCCGCGGTGGGTCTCCTCCTACCCGGGCGCGGGCCCTCGAGACCACACGGCCCTTGCCTCAGGCCGCTTCGGGCGACGCGCGCGGGCTCGGGGACCTCTCCTCCGGGGGGGTGGCGGTGCCTGGGATCTAGGGCACGGGCTGGGGAGAGATGAGAGAGCCACTGGACTGCGGGCAACAGCTCTTCCACGGCGCCAGGGAGGCAGAGTGAAGGAGCTGCAGGAGAGAAGAAGGCAGCAGCGATGGGACAAGCCTAATCAGAGATGGAGAGGCGGATGATGCGAAGAGGGAGAAGGGAGAAAGGAGAAGGAGGATAGCGTGTGCCAAGCAACAACAAGAAGGAAGCTGAGGATACAGGCAAGAAACCTACGGCCATGTAACACCGACTAGACCACTAAGACTCATCGGTTCCCACGCGCAACATCAGCGCCACACACGAGTGCCATCAGGGGCCGCGGACCCACGATGCAGACCCCGATCGAGCCACCCAATGCACGGCGGAGGAGAAGGAGCGCACTGCCGCTGCAAAGAACGATGAAGCAACACACCTCGGACGCTCAAGCTTCTCGAATCGCTCGCGAACTGCGGACGCGCGCGAGGAAGCATCCTGTTCTACTGACGAAAAGGAGGAGGAAGAGGAGGAGGAGGAGGAAAAGAGGACGAGAACGATGAGGGCGAGGAGAAGGATAAGGCTGAGGGAGGATGGAGGAAGAGTGACGAGGGGGAGGAGCAAGAAAATACCGAAGGAGAAGAAGGAAACCCACAACCCCGAGTTGAAATCTCTGGCAACAGACGAAGCCAGACGCCAGTTTACAGCAGCAGCTGCCGCGGCAACTGCAACTGCAACTGCAGCAGCAGCAGCAGCAGCAGCAGCAGCAGCAGGAGCAGGAGCAGGAGACGAGGGCGGGGGGCAACACAAAACGAGCAGAACCCTCCCCGCGCACGCCCACCCCGGGCCGCCCGCCCGCCGCCCCGTGGCGCCTCCGCGCCACCAGCCCGCAGCGCCACGCCACCGCCTCCCCGCCAAGACGCGGCCACTGCAGCCGGCGCCATCGGCCGAGCGGCCCGCGGGCCGGCGAGCCCGCGCACGAGCACGCACCCCAGGCCGGCCAGCAGCGGGCGCCAGCGGCTGGCCTCCTCCGCGCACGCGGGACGCCGCGCGCCGGCGGCGGGCGCCCTCCCGCGCGCGCGGGGGCGGCTGGGGGAGGCGGCCAGCAGGCCAACCGCGGCGGGCGCCGCCAGGGGCGCGACGGGCCGCGACGCGGCCACGGCCATGTGCCCAAGCGCGGGTGGGTGGGCTGCTCGGCGCGGGTGGGTGCCTGATGTGGCACAGGGCGCGCGCCGCCACGGCGGCAAGGGGCGCGGGAGGGCGAGCGTGCGCGCAAGACTTCCTCCTCCTCCTCCTCCTCCTCCTCCTCCTCCTCCTCCTCCTCCTCCTCGTCCTCCTCCTCTTCCTCCTCCACCTCCTCCTCCTCCTCCTCCTCGTCGTCGTCGTCGTCGTCGTCGCCGTCGTCGTCGTCGTCGTCATCATCATCATCATCATCATCATCATCATCATCATCATCATCATCATCACATCATCAGCATCATCATCAGCATCATCATCATCATCAGCATCATCATCAGCATCATCATCATCGTCATCATCATCCACCTCCTCCACCACCTCATCCTCCTCCTCCTCCTCCTCCTCCTCCTCCTTGTCATTTTCAACCCCCATCATCTCAACCACCACCACCACCTCCTCCTTTTTCCACCACCTCCACCTCCTTTTCCTCCTCCTCCTCCTCCTCCTCCTCCTCCTCCTCCTCCCCCTCCTCCTCCTCATCCACCACCACCACCACCTCCCCCACCACCACCTCCTCCTCCCGCACCAAGCACGGTGAAGGACTGGGCGGTTCTGGCGTTTTTTTGAGGATTCCCATGGGTTCCTCTGGCAGGGGGGTCCTATGGATGTCTGAGGATTCTCACGGATCCCTGAGGATCCCCAAGAAATTCGAACATATTCCTGCGGACTTTCGAGGGTTCCTAATTCTTCCTTATTTGATCAAGCACCCATGGCAAGGCTAAGGAGTCCGCACCAAGGACTCCTTATTCCGAATCCGTTACTGAGCATTCCTGAGTAAAGATTCATTACTAAATGCTCAAGGATGCCTTATAAAAAAGTCCCTGAATAAGGATCCCCTGTCAAACATTACTTACTAAAAGGTTCCCCCTCTTGCAACCCTCATCAAGGATTCCTTACCAAGGAATCTTTACGAAAGACGCATTACTAAGCATTTTCTGCCAAGGATTCCTCACTAAGGAAGCCTGACGAAAGAGTCCTCAATAACGGCTAATCGCTAAGGGTTCCTCACGAAAAGAACCCTCACCAAGAATATATCGCTAAGGATTCCTCACGAATGACTCCTTAGCACGGACTCCTTTCTAAGAGTTCCGAAGGAATCCTTGCTGTGGACCCCTTACCAAAGATGCCTTACTAAGGGTTCCATATTAAAGGTTTTGTTTTACCGGGGTTCCTCACTACGGGCTCTTTACCTAGGAGTTTGTAAGGAGCTCCAGCAGCTCCAGTATTAAGCATTCTTCACCAAGGACTCCTCACAAAAAGTCCTTAATGCATATTCTTCCTTATAATGGTCGTCACCAAAGATTTCTGACATAAAGATCCCCCTAAGGACATCTTACTCCGCATTCCGTGCGGAGAGTCCCTTACAAAAGGAACCCTGTATTCTGCATTCCTCACCGCGGGTCCCTTACTAAGGGTTCCTTGGCAAAGATTTCTTCTAAGGGAATACTCACTGATGATCCAATCATAAGAACCCATGCTTAAGGATTCACTATCCAGGATTTCCTTTTCCAAGGATTCCGTAATACAACCCCCTCAGTAAGGATTTATTACTCGGGGCTCCCCTTGAAGGATTCACTATCAAGTCTATATGATTCAAAATTTCTGATGGTTTCTCATCGAGCACTCCCCATTCAGAATTCCTTCCGGAAGATTTTTGGCCAATGGTTCCTTACTCCAGCTTCCTGATTCAGAATTTCTTCTGAAGGCCTCCTGACCAAGCATTCCTTAATCAGGAATCCTCACTGAGAATTCTTACTCCGGAATCCTTGTTCGAGAGTCCTTATCAAGGATTGCGTACTCAGGGCTTCTGTCTGAAGATTTCCCAACGGAAGAGTCTTCACTCTATAGAATCAGTTTTGAACAACTCGTGAACATTCTAAAACTAGTTTTCCTTCCTGCGGAGTACGTACTAATGGTTTCTGACGACTATTAAGAGTACTACTACTACTACTACTACTACTACTACTACTACTACTACTACTACTACTACTACTACTACTACTACTACTACTACTACTACTACTACTACTACTACGACTACTACGACTACTACTACTACTACTACTACTACTACTACCACTACTACTACAACTACGACTACTACTACTACTACTACTATTACTACTACTACTACTACTACTACTACTACTACTACTACTACTAGTACGACTGCAAACTACTACTACGACTGCAAACTACTACGACTACTACTGCTAAATACTAATAGTACTGCCGAAACTACCACGACTACTACTACGACTACTACTACACAAATCCGCCGACCCCTTGGGGTTCATCGGCGTGTGAGATCTTCCCCCTCCCCAAACCCCTCCCCTGGGAGCCCGGTCCGGTCGATTTGGAGGGGGGGGTCTGTTCAAATTCCCCGGTTCCCCCGGTTCCCCAGGGGAGTTCAAACGCTCCCGAAAATCCTGCAAAGACTTCTCCGGTGGCCTCGAAATGGCCCCGGGACGCACCACGACGGCTCAAGAGGACCTCCACGTGGCCTTCGGTGGGTCCAAGATTCCCCAATATGGGCTCAAGACAGCCCACGATGCCTCCAAGACGCTCCAAGAGGCCCCGAAGGGGCGCTCCAAGAAGGTCCAAAGCAGCGAAAATCATTGATTTTCCATTGGGAAACGTACATTTTAGCATCGACGACTTTTCAGCCTGCACGGAGTTACAGCCAATCTAAGAGGCCCCCATGGCCACCCCACGACGTCCCAAAAGGGCCCCAAAAGGCGCCCAAGACAACCCAAAACGGCGCCAAGACGGCCCCAGAGGCTCTCGAATCACCCCAAAAGAATCCCAAGACGGCTCCTAGAGGGGGCCCAGCGGCGGAACCCGAACCGAAAATCCGAGCCCCCCGCTCCCACCTGGCCCTGGGACACCCCACGAGCCGCCCAAAAGGTCCCAAGAGACCCCCAAAAGACCTCCAAAAAGCGTCCGAGAGGCCCAAAGGAGACCCCAAGAGGTCCCAAAACGGCTATCAGTGAACTTCGAAACCACCTCCACGAAGCATGCGAGATGCCCCCCCCAGAGATCCCAACGAACATCGCACAAGCCTCAGACCCACAATGCCGGGCACGGTGGCGTGACATGCCGACTGTAAGTAGATCGTGTTTCCAGTTCCTCTCCCTCCTCCTCTTAAGCACCCTTCTCCTCCCTCATCCCTCCGCCCTCCTCTTCCTCTCCTTCTCTCTTGCATCCTCTCTTCCTTTCCCTCATCCTCTTTCCCCAGCCTTGCCCTCCTCCCCCCCATCCTCCTTCCTCCACCTACCCCTAGGTCCCGGCGGTCAGACTCCTCGCAACTTCCGTTGCTTGCCGCCGTGCTCGCCACTTGCCTCCGCAGGGCGTTTCGGCGGTTCTCTCCGCGGCGCCCGTCCCGCCTCATAGCACTTCGCGCCAACCACCGGATTGTCTCGCTTGAAAAATTATTCTTCTGGTCTTTCGACAGATGGCCCCCGTCAGTGAACGCGGGCTTCGATCCGCCCTTTTTCGGGGGACACGCGGAGCATTCAAACTTCTTCGCCACCCTCCTTTTGTCGTGGCACGCGCGGCACACCACCGAGCGATTGTCCGAACCCTCAGCGAAGAAGCGCTCCACTTGCTTATCTGTCAGATGCGTCCTGTCCGCGAACTCTCGCCCTTTCCCATCTGCTTCTGTCGGGCACGCGGAGCACCTGAGCACCCGCGACTGCTCGCGTTTTTCGTGGCACGCGCGGCACACCACCGGGCGATGGTCCGAACCCGTCGCGAAGAAGTGCCCCCTTGCTTATCTGTCAGATGCGTCCTGTCCGCGAACTCTCGCCCTCTCCCATCTGCTTCTGTCGGGCGCGCGGAACACCTGAGCACCCGCGACTGCTTGCGTTTTTCGTCGCACGCGCGGCACACCACCGGGCGATGGTCCGAACCCGTCGCGAAGAAGTGCCCCACTTGCCCATCTGTCAGATGCGCCCTGTCCGCGAACTCCCGCCCTCTCCCATCTGCTTCTGTCGGGCACGCGGAACGCCTGAGCACCCGCGACCCCCTGTGATTCGCTTGGCACGCGCGGCACTTCACTGGCCTATGGCCTGCGCCCGTTCTATAATACATGTTGACTTGATCCGTCGTCAGATGCCCCGCGTCCGCGAATTCCCGCCCGCTTCCGACCGCTTCTTTTGGGCACGCCGAACACCTCAGCGGCTGTTGCTGGCGTGCAATTTGTCGAGCAGTGTTCGTGTCATTCATGCACTCCGTTTCTTTCTGCGATTTGCTCCACTCGATCCATCCGCCTTTCCTCTCCCCCGCGCACTTCTTGCAGAGCTTCTCCCCTGCGCCCTTCGTCGCGCACTGGTTCGCCGTAATTTCTGCCTCCGTTTTCAGGCATTCCGCGCATTCTGCGCAACGGACCTTGAATTTCTCCTGCACATTCTCCCGCCACCCTTGCGACTCTTTCCGCGACTTCCTCCGGGGCGATGGCCCTGCGCACAGGTCGCATGTGCTTGTCCGCACGAACACTCTGTTCCTTTCGGACTCGGCCCCCGCCACTCTGGAAGCCATCTCGGCCCATTGCTCACAAGGCGCGCACCACTTATCCCCTGCCCCCCTCAACATCTCCGCGCACTCGCAGCAGAAGCTCGGGCCCGACTTCGCGCCGAACTCATTCGTAGTGAATTCAGCCTAATTCTTTCACCTTCCAACATTTCCCGCATGTCTTCCGCGGCATCAACCACTCCTCGATTTCGGACCACGGCAACGCTTCCCCCCGCAACTTCTGCAACAACAGCCTCGTTCCTTCCAAGCCTCCTTGCGTGCACGGCTGTCTCGAAAATGGCCGATATATGAGCAGGCCGCGGCGAGTCTTCACGCGCGATATGGCCACGTAGCTCGACATCCAGCTGACTTTCCTGCCTTCCTCCAAGTCCGCTATTACCGCGTCGAGCGTTCGCCCTTGCGCTGCGCGCGCCGCGCACGCCAGCCCAAGCGAAATTATA